CAAACACTCGCCAATGCGGCCACTATTTTGCCTCCTTAAACAAGCAGCAATTTACACTTCTCGCAACATCATACAACAAAATGCTTTCTACGAAAGGCAAAGTCTGCACATTCACGTTCCACGTATCTGTTCGTTTCGCAAACACAATGAAGCGCACTCACCTGCTGTCATGGGCACCAAGTCACCATAACCCACCGTTGTCATCGTTATAACACCTGAAATATTCATTCCGTTGTTCAATGAAGCAACAGCACGATGAATGCAGCTCGACAATGCATAAATTTACACGAATTATTACATGAAATACGATCAATCTCCATTAATTTGAACAGACAACTTAAAAAACTTACACCACCAACACGCGGCCGGTATTGAGTAGAATTGAGAGTTGTGCTCGTCTCTTTCGAAGAAATAGATGGCTGTCGAAAATAGTAGTATGCCAGTTAAGAGGAACATTCCCAACATGCTCAATTCGGCGGCTGATTTGCGCATTGTTTCACCGAATGCCCGCAGACCCGTACTGTATCTGGCCAGCTTGAAGATACGAGCCACTCGCGCTAATCGCATCACACGAATCACTACCATCGCACCTTGACTCAATAAAATTTCAGTTATGATCTCTCTCTCATGAAATATATCTAACGGCATTATAGAATCACACCACCATATAAGCGAAACTACTGAACTGCTTTACACAGCAAGACACTTGATTCGAACAATTTTTGCATGAAAATCCACCAATTCTGTGTAATTTGAATGCCCCCATTAATCTATGATTTGTCTGAATTCATTGATCCATTTATAAAATACTGGAAGCGATGGTGACCCTCCCGAAGAGATGAGGTATATCAGAAAATGTGGGATTTTGGTTTTTTTCAATGAAGCAAAAGAACATTTCGTTTAGCCGATTTAAAATTAGAAATTTTCCCAAAGCGTTTCGTGTCATTGTGAGTTATAGATGAAAGCATCAAATCAGAAATTAAATTTATTCATTCAGCGACACGAGATAATCATATCAATAGTGCATTCGTGAACATACTGAATGAATTCAACTTCAATCTTTAATTGAAAGATTTAATCGAAGCGCTTTCATAAAACCTGTCTCCCTGATGAATTCGTCATTGTTTGCTAACACAATTCACGAAGAAACGATGAAAT